GAACATCGACGAGGAGGACCTGCCCCTCAAGGGTGTTGAGCAGCGGTCCATCTCTCTGGAGGAGCTGCAGGGCGCCCTGGAGGCGTTCCTGGTCAACACCACCCAGGGCGTCATGCCCCTCACGCAGGTCGAGGACCACCCCATTGCGGACGGGCGGCCGGGGAACCTATCGCTGGCCCTGCAGGCGGTGCTCATCAACGACAGGGTGCCCCGGGAGGGCAGCGACCGGCACACGCCGGTGCCGTATGGCGGGCTCACCGGCATGCGGTCGCAGCTGACCTAGGGGTTGACTGACCTTGCAATGTCCTGCTGGCATTTTTTGGGAGCCTGTCGCGCGGCCTCGCAACGATGACGAGCCGGCCCATCGCATGGGCTGGACCGCGCTTGGCGTGGTCCTGGCCGTGGCTCCGTTTGTAACACCATCAGCTGTAGCTGTTCTGGTGCTGCAGCATCCGGTAGCTGTTCTGGTGCTACAGCATTTTCTATCCAAGGGGGGCAGAGGACAGGGCCGTGCCAGTGGGAAGCGCAGTGGCAGACATGACTGGGATGCTGCAGCGGAGGAGCCCACCAGCAGCTGTAGGATAGCAGTTCGTGTTTGCTCAACTCACACAAAGCTGCACCCTGCAGCCCGGCCCTGCACCCACCCTAGCATGATCCCCACAGACTGCAACACAGGCCTTACATGCGCAAGATTGCAGGAACCACACATGCAGCAGCAAAAATATGCGGGCTACCCCGCACCCTCGCCCTCATCGTCGGGCTGCAGCCCCATGCGCTGCATCTTGAAGCGCGACATGCGCCCCTGAGGGGCCGTGGCTGCAGGCAACCCAGCATTTGTCGCAGCCGCGACTGTGCCGGTGCCCGGCGTCGGCCTCTCCACTACCGCTCCAATCACTGCCGGCATGGCGCGCACTGGGGCTGCGGGCCGAGCCCTGGCTGCCGCCGCCGCTGCAGCCTGCGCCTGCGCCGCGCTGGGCGCCCTGCGCGGCTTGGCGCCGTCGCTGCTGCTGCTGGTGCCGCCTGCGCCGCCGCTACCCAAAAACCCTTTCTTCAGGATGGATTTGGGGCCCACTTTGCTCAGTGGGGCTGAGCTGCTTGGACTGGGCTGCTGTTGCGGTGGCTGCGATGGTGCAGATGGGCCCCCCGCCTGCTGCAAAGGCGCGAGTGCTGGCATCTCTCGTGCACTGGCCCGCACCGGTTGCTCTTCGCTGTCCTCGTCATCGCTGTCTGTGGCGGCTGCTTCATTGTCCAAAAAGCTCACACGCCTGCCGCTTGATGGTTGCACCGCTGCCGCCGTCGTAGCAGTCGCCGAGGTGGCGGGCTCGTGTTGCTCCCCGCCACTGCCTGCACCAGGGGTCTCCCTGCGCCTGCCACGCGCCGCGCGCAGCAGTCCCTGTGCGCGCCGCTCCGCCTCCCCCTCACTGAGGTCCTGCTCCTCGGCCTCCCTCTCAGCCCTCATCAGCGCCTGCCACAAGTCGTCCGCCTCACCCGCATCTGCAGCGCCCACTGCTGCCTTGGTTGTCGTGGCTGATTCTGGTGGCAACAATGGTGCTGGGTGATTTGAATTTGCTGCTGATTGCGACGGCTCTGCCCCCGGCACGCCGCCGCTGCGGCTGCCCCTTGTGCCTGTTTCAGCTCCACCGCAGGCACTGCTGCCGTCACCCTGCGCCTGCTGCAGCCACGCCTCTGCCTCCGCCTCCGTCTCTCGGATCTCCATCAGTGGCACACCGCCCTCCTCCCTTTCGCCGCCCGCGCTTGCACTATCCGCTCCGCCGCCGCCGAGTGCGGTCGCGGAGACGTCAAGCCGCGCCCGCAGGGCCCGCAGCTGCTGCTCCGCCTTTTCGATGCCCTCGCCCAGCGCTGCGGCGCGCCGCTGCACGGCGTCGCGCGCGGCGGGCGCGGGCATTTCCGCGTAGTACTGGCCCCCCAGGTGCACCGTCAGCTCGTTGGTGTGCACCAGCTCCCCGGGGAAAAAGGCGTGGCGGCCAAACGGCACCATGACGGGGTGGCGGAGCCTCCCAGGCAGGGTGGCCAGCAGGCCGGCGACCTGGGCGGCGCCGCTGCGGGCCTCGCGCAGCAGCGCCAGATCTGACTCTTTTGTGGCGATGGCGCGGCGCACCTCCTGGGCATAGGTGGCGAGGGAGGCCGCGTCCAGGGGGTCGTCCCCCAGGCCGGGGGCCGCCATCGGCTACGACAGCCGGCTGCGCACCCGCTCCACTGCTGTTGCTGCGGCTGGGCTTCTGGGCTGCAGGGCTGAGAACTGAGGGCTGCCAGAGTGTGGGAGCAAGAGCACGACCCAAGTTCCGCGAGCGACGTCCAGCCCTGCACCAGGCGAGGAGGTCCGCAGCAGCTGGCTGATGCGCCGCGGAGCACGCGCAGCGCTCAGGGCAAACGCAGGCGGCGATTTGTGGGACCCCACACCTGCGCAAGTTGTCAGGTGCAAAATTGTGAGATACGCCAAGGGTCGTCCGTGGTCGTATTGCGGCGAGATCGTTGGTGATCTGACGCCGTTTGTGGTATTCAGCTCGAGAAATGCCCCAAAACTTGACCTTTGATACGTATAAGCGTGCCGGCTGCAGGCGTAGCTGTCAGATAGGACGACTACGGTGTGTCGCGGCGATGTGCAAGAGGAGGAGCCACCACCCGGCCACCTCTGCCGTTTCGTTCCTGGCAGAAGGGCGTTCAAACAGCAACCCAACGCAGTTTGGGTTGATTTCTTGCTAGTCTGGTGTCCTCAGTTTGTCGAAATTAATGTAGATACCTGACATTTGCACTGCCGTTTGCCAGTCAACTCCTAAGCCTAATATTTGACCCCCTCTACATGGTTGTGATCCCCTCGCCCTCCCAGCCAGATTAAAAGTCAAAAGGATGCCGTGCAGTCAACATTACACAGCGTCCTGAATCACGGGAGTTCAGTCATGCAAGCTGCAGCGCGTTGCGAGACCCAGGGGCATGCCCGTTCCCCTGCTGCTTGCAGTGGTGTTGCCAGGCGGCGGCGGGGATCACTTGCCCCGCCGCCGCCGCGCCAGTCACAAGTCTCGCCGCGCCTCGGGCGTCCTCGGTAGTGCCACCGTCCCCTCCGGAGCTGTGGCCGCGGACGCTACGGGCGCGCCGCGCCACGCCGTCTGTGCAGCGTACAGCGCGTTGGCGCCTCCCAAGGCCAACACTGATGGGACAGCGAACATGCAGCCCCCGGGCTTGAAGCTGCCAAGTGTCTGTGCGAGGCAAGGGATTTGCACAGGCTCACAATGGCAAGGCGTGTACAGGGCGGCTGGCGAGTGGCCAGCGGACGGCCGGGCTAGTTCCTGGCTTGGCGAGTCCAGGGGCGGCGCACAGCCTCAACCCACAGCAGGCATCGCAAGCCGTTCCCTCCTGAACCCACCAGCAGCGCCGATGCCAGGTGCACCGCGGGCGCGTACGCCATCCAGACCGCGCCCCGCCGCCGCCAGCCGTCCAGTGCCACCACCATGGCGGCGACCAGCGTGGCGCTGGTACCCAGGCTGTTGAGGGCGGTGACCAGGAACAGGCTCATCCCCGGGCAGCTGTCAGAGTAGTACGAGCCGTCACCCGTGGTGAGGGGCAGCAGCGACGCGAAGAAGAACAGCGCGTGGCAGGCGGCGTGGCCGACGCCCCATCCCAGCGCGAGGTGCAGGTGGTCTGAGTAGGTGAATGCGTGGCCGCTGCGCAGGGACATCGCCTCTAGGGAGCGGCACAGCCACCTAGGAGCAGGTGTTTGGATGAGCGCTTCTGGTCACGTGTGAAACAACAAGTAGAGAAGAAATGGGTGGCCTGGCTGATCCAACTTACCCACACGCAAATGCAGGTGGGCAGCGCTTTCAAGTCAACAGCGGAGTGCAGTCCCGCTGACTGAAGCTTATCCGCTGCTAACCCTGCTGGCTGGTGCATCACTAATCGCATAGAAACCGTACACCCACTCATGCATGCGCCAGACGCCGACGCGTGCCGCCTCCTCGATGGCCACCGCTGCCAACACCACACCAGCATATGCACTCGGTGTGGCTGCCAGCGGCTCAAAGCCTGGTGGTGAGTGGGAAGTGGGGGTGGCGAAAAAGGGAAGGCACGCAATCTTGATGTGTAAGCGCGCATGCTTGCCAGGTGGATTCTAACTTTTTTGAAAATGGACCGACTGCCACCTTCAAGGTGGAAGGCCTTCAGTGAACTACAGGCAACAGCTACGCACATCCAGGCACTGGTGCCCCAGCCCGGACCTCTGAATATGGCAGATGTGAATAGAAGGACTACCAACCACCAGAATGCACTGTGGAATGAGAGCCAGCCGCGGATGTAGGCGGAAGATGCCGGGCAGACGGTTTTGGAGACGCGCAACCATGGCTTGCATCTGAAAGCTGTGCCGATGCAATGCGTCTAGCCACGTCATTCAGGCTGACACTTCACCCCACAACATGTAAAACAATTGCTGCTTCAACCATTCCTGCAAGCTGCTGCGCTGTGGGTTGCGGGCTTGGCAGCGGCGGCCCGGGCAAAGCGGGGCACATACATCGTGCTGGCGCCGACCTGAAGATGCTCAGCAGAACTACAAAGGACTTCGGCGCTATGAAAACGCCGTAGAACGCCGCGCCAGGTCCCACCGCCACCAACAGGTAGCCGAAGAAGTCTATTGCCGCCATGGCCGCTGCTGTGTTGGCGCCGATTCAAGCGTGCAGCAAGCGGCGCGTGCTGCACCCTCTGAGCTGGTCCTTGCCAGCAGGTGCAGCATTTCCTACAAGACAGGACAATAGACGCCAACCATGCTGACGATTTAAACTAATCACAGTATGACCTTATCTCAGCGTCGCACGAACTGCATCAGATCGCGGTATTGAACCGTTGTGTGCGCACAAGCTTGATACGTGCTTTTCCACAAGATGTTCTACGCGGGATGCATACAGATATGGCTTTCGAGCCGCAGGCAAGGGCCGTCACAATACTGTACGGTAGCAGCGTTGCTTTGAGCCAGGCCTGCGTCACCCTTGCGGTTTCATGTTGCTTTGCCGCTCATGTGTCAATCCAAGCTTCCTGTCTTGTCTTGCTGTTGCTCGCATGTTTGATTACAAGCAATCCGTAATGTCACTGCTCTCCTGCTGAGAAACTTGTGCTTGTTTGGTCAACGCTGGTTCAAAGCCAATGGCGAAGTGTCAGGCCGTTCCACCGTTCATTTGTGCGGCCATGCGATCCTGCTGCACTTCAAAGTTGTCAATAGTGCGTGTGTGTGGCGGTTGTACGACCTGTAACATTTCTGGCCGCAGAAATGTATCCTTGCCCAGCTGTGATGCTACAACAGATAGAGCCACATGTCTGCATGCTGATAAGTACGATGAGCCCGCACAAGATACGCGTTGCGCTTTTGGAAAAATGTCTGGCGTGCTGCTGAAGAGGCTATGCCATGAAATGTGATAAGGCAATCAGCTGAACAGTAGCGCTAAATGCTATTACATGCCGCAAGTGCAAGGTGCAGGTGCCTTGATGCCCTGCACTACGATAATATGGCTGCCCTGCTGGAGTGAGCTACAACTTGCGACACCCACACGTAGGACGCAGGGGTAAAGAGAACCCATATACTTCCAAAACGCTAGATCTGGCATCGACGACAGGATGCATCACACCATGCCAACAGACACAACCGCCGCAGTAGCTTCAAGACCACGGAAAACACGAGGCTCACCCGCTGCTCGCAGAGCAGCCGATGACAAACGGCAACATGCTGTGACCAGCACAGCGGCGGTGGAGACAGCAACTGCATGCCTGCCCTTGGTGCTGCTGCCACGCACACCCACAAACGAGTTGCCGCGAGCACAGCCAACCAGGCTTGGCGCCCTGCGAGGTGCCACTGCTCCAGATTCTGGGATGGTACGAAAGCCATCGACCACCATGCAGCTGATTGTAACTATGCGATATGGCGTCAAACGTCAGTAGCCCTTGTTTCCCTGTATCCGCGACCGCGCGTCAACCTGGCCGCGGCGGCAGGCGAACAGCGCATACCGCAGCGATTCACACTCCTCTGGCCGCGTCGCTGCGCAGTCAGTCGCGCTCTTATTTTGCTCCTGCAGGGTATATGGAATGGTCGTGGACGTGCTGTGTACCGAAGGTACGCACTGTTTGCACGCTGATGTCAGGCCCGCCTCACGTCGGAATACCGCACCCGGCGGCAGCAGCAGCACCGGCCGCACCTTCATACACGGCGTGTCTCGCAGGCAGGCTACATAGTTACGTATTAGCCCAGAGCAGCTAGTGGACATAGCTGACACGTGCCTGCGCGTGAACAGCCCTGGAAGGCGACGAAAAGCTGGCTGGCTGAAACGCGGGTGACACGGAGTGCGATCTGATGGCTGACACATAAGCACAAAGCTCTTGCAACGGCGCACACAGAATCAAATAATCTTTCAAGCCACGCCGTTGACCCAGATCTTGTCGTGCGCACTCCGCTCAAACATCAAACACTGGCTACGAGACGGTTCGGGCATGAACAAGTCGCGCTAGCTTGCAAAGTAGCACTAATAATCTACCATGATGTCGACCGTTGGTCGCTGCCGCAGCGGCTTGCAGGGGCCCATGGGTGTGGGTAGCGGCAGCACCACCCCGACAATGTTCAAGGCAGCACTCAGGTCCGTGGTGAAGCGGGCTGTCAAGGCTTGCCGTTGTGCCACTGCGGCGTCCTTCAGCCATGCATACTGAAAGGATCTGGCCACACCTCGCTGTGCAGGCGCCTCCGGCCCCAAACAGCCGTGTTGAGCAGCACTGACAGGCACCTCCGGCGGCAGCAGCAGCAGCGCCTCACACGGTGCCGCGCCGGCTCGGAGGTGCGCCCACTTACCGGTAGTGGCGCCATAGTTTGTGGCGTCACTGTACAACAGGATGATCCCAGCGATTGAACAGTCGGCAAACTACCAATATCACTCGTGTCACCGCATCGAATTTTGAAATGCTATGTCATGCTGTCGCCGCAGGACGAGCCGCCCGGTACCCCGAGCACCAGCACCAGCCGTCCCGCGGCCGACCCGGCCTCCCCGAATGGCGGCGACAGTCCCGAGGGCTCCGGCATGGGGGAACAGAAGATTGCAGGCTCTGAGCGCGGCGACCTGCAGATCCCCAAGGCAGGCAGGGTGGCGGGAGTCAGCAGGCGCCGACGCCTTCCGGCTGGACGGGGTCACTGCGGGGGAGGGGGGGGGCAACATCGGCAACCGGATGGTCCCTACGTTGCACATTTCAGGCATAGCAGGATGATGCATGGTGACGGTGCCTCACAATGCCACAGAACAGCATGTGCCAGGCTGTGTTGGTCGGATTATTAGCAAGCAGAACCAAGGATACCCAACACTATGGGAGAACCAAGAGGGCACTGCGACGTACATGCCATATGGTCACGATCTGAGGTGAGGTGCACACCATACAAACGCATGTGCATGCGCCCACTTGATCACTTGCAGGAGGTGATTGAGAAGCTGCGGTACAGTGTGTTTGGCTACGACACGCTGTGGGTCACGAGCGTTGACAACTACCAGGAGAGCGGGGTGGTGTTCAAGGGCAACCTGCGGGCCAAGGACCCGGCAGCGGGCTACGCCAAAATGAAGGACAAGCTCCGGGTAGGAGGCTGGGGCTGGGCAGGAAAACGGGGAGGTGGATGCTGGGCTATCGGGATGGAAGGCGTGTGGGTGATCACGACGTTGACTTGTTTGGTTCTTGATGGGCTGCGGGATCAAAGGGGAGGGGGGGTAAAGGGACACAGATTGCTTGCTCACCCTGCCCATGTCAAACTTATGAACTTCACTGATATGCCTGGCCCCCGAGACCGCGTGCCCGGCACTCAATTGCACACACACACACACACACACACACACACACACACACACAAACACACACACACACACACACACACACACACACACACACACACGCACACACACACACACACACACACATGCACGTGCTTGCAAATACACACGGCACATGCACACACAGCCATGACTGTGCACATGCCCAATCTCTTTTTATGACCAGGCTGAGCTGGGCGATGACTGGCAGATCTTCCTGCTGGAGGACAAGGACGAGAAGCCCACAGCCGTGGTGCTGCCCAGCACTGCGCGGGAGGGCCAGATCAGCAGGTTCACGGAGGTGCGCGTTGCCCACAAGCATGTGGCGGTGTGGTTGATCAAAGTGACCGCTGGGGTGACCTTCAGGGGAGGGCCCGGGTGCTGGTGCGGAAAGTTGAGCCCTACACACTGCCCTCGTCTGTCTTCCCCGCTTACTTGCTGACGCCCCCTGAATCACATTGTCCCACCGCCGCTCCTTGCAGATCTGGCTGGCGGTGTCATTTGGGATCTTGACGACCGTCACGACCCTCAACAGTGCAGGGGTCCCGCTGCTGCAATTCCTGATTGACCCCTTCCGCACGGCAATCTCGCTCAAGGTAGACAGTGGAGCTCTCCAATGATCTAGAACCGTATGTTCATCCGTTGTGACGCTTTTACTTGCACAGCAATCAAGCATTGGACGACCATTCATTTCTAGCAACCCTAACCGCCCCAAATTGCACCCCGTTGCGATTGAACCCAGGATATAACCGATGCTCTACCGCTGGCAGGCGCCTTCTGGTTTACGCTCGGCGCCCATGAGTGGGGCCACCGCTGGGCCGCCGGCCGCCAGGGCGTAAGCCTGTACCTGCCCCTCATTGTCCCGGCTGGCTTCGGCTTCCTCGGATCCTTCGGCGGCCTCACGAGGTTCCGAGGGTTTGTGCGGGACAGGACTGCACTGCTGGACGTCGCCGCCTCGGGGCCGGCCGTGGGCACAGCGGCCAGCCTGGGGCTGGTGCTGGCGGGCTTGGGGCTCAGCAGCGCGGGGCTTGGTGACGTCACCGTTGACAGCGCCGCGTTCGCGGACAGCTGGAGCATCGGGCTGATGGTGCAGGCGGCGTTGGGCGACGCTCTGGCCAACCCAGAGGTGGGCTCAGCACACTGTTTGCTGGCAGGGGGCTTGTACTGCATGGGAAAGCGCGCGCGCTGGGTGGTGTGGTTTGGCCGCTACAGTATTGCATCCGGTATGCACCCGCAGCGGCATCCTGGCTGGTGACCTGCTTCTCTGCGTCAATTTCGCGCTCCCCTCTGCCCATCTCATGTGCCCTGTGTGTGTAAGGTCCGCGTGAGCTCCCTGTTGGTGGCGGGCTGGGCTGGGCTGGTCGTCAACGCCCTCAATTGCCTGCCTGCCGGCGAGCTGGACGGCGGGCGCATGGCGCTGGCGCTCTTCGGCCGCAGGCACGCTGATGTCACGCGCCTGCGAGGTTCATCAACGGCAGACGGCACAACCAAGCAGGGTGGCAGCCGATCCTTGTCTGCAACGACGCTTGCTTCGAAGCAGCCCCAACCCATTCCCAGCGGGCGCCTTGCGTAGCCCCTGCCTGCCAGCCTCTACCATGCACCAAATACTCAATTTCACTGGTGGTTACACCTACGCATGCGCCTCCCTCCGTCCAGCCACACAGTGCTGTCCGCATCAAACCCCGCAACACGCGCCACCATCCATCGCAGGGGCTACACCGCGCTGGGCGTGCTGACCATCGCGGCGCTGGCCATCACCTCCTTCAACTCCACCCTGGCCTTCTACTGGATCCTCTTCCTGCTGGCCCTGCAGCGCGGCCCCGCCCTGCCCTGCCAGCAGGAGGTCGCGCCACCGGAGGACCAGGGCCAGCGGCGGCTGGCATACGCTCTGATGGCGCTGCCGCTGCTGGTGCTGCCCCCTCTGCCCGTGGACCTGATCCTGGCCTGGCGCGACATGGGGACGCCCACGCTGTTCTGATCAGCTGGGGATGCTTGAAAGGTGCAGAGTGTGTGCATGCCGGCACAATGCAGCAGTGTAACGCACCGCTCATCTGCCAGCAGCTGTTGGTAGGTTGAGGGACTTTGTCAAGCCAGCTGCCAGCAAAAGCACGGCCGCAGCTGCTTTCGTATGCAACCCATTTGGAAGAGCAGGGTCGAACGCAGCGCCAAGCAGTAGCAGCAGCAGCCTGGCGTTCATACACAATAGCGTAAGGACACGCGGCAAGGCATCACCGGTCGTAGACGCAGCCGCGTTTGCGGCAGCCTCTGGGAGTAAAAAGCACACAATCAACCGGGTAGGACCGCCACCAAAGATCCCCTTGATGCTGTATGTTCCACCTTGGTCTCGTGTGCTGCCCTGGAACACTCTTGTGCGAGGAAGCGTAGTGCGGCTGGTCAAACCCTGAATCTGGCACTCACCCTTGCGCTGCCCTTGGTGAATGTTTCACCCGTTTGACAGCCACATTGGTGGGCTTGAGTGATGCCCACATAGGCCACTATACTATGATGTATTGCAGCCCTCCTCGCTCGCAGGTTGCCCAATAGATGGGGCACGGTCACAAGCATACGGGACAGTATGGTGTAGGTGCATCCTGTTCAGGGCTCCCTAAGATGCAAACGAACTGCCTCAGAGTGCTGCATGTTCAATGTCAAACGGTGTTGACCGCACTGCGCGGAAGGTGTCTGCAGCTGCCACGATAAGTTGGCCGCATGCAAGCATGTGATCCACACACGGTAGCCTGGCAGAAATCAACCAACGTGAGTGCGTCACATGCTTGCATGCGACCAGCGCAAATCTCGTTGTCATGCTGATGCGCCGCTCAAGTGCAATGGCGGCTGGTGACAGCGCTCGCATGTGAAGCGGCTGGGCCACCACGCTGAAGACCTTCCTTCAATAGTGGCAGTCGGTATCAAGCATTTCATGTGAACGCTGAGTTGTTCAACATCTCCGACAATCTCGCAGCACAGCTCCTACAACAGCAGCCCCTCGTCCGGGGTGTCGTGAGACTGAGGAGAAGTTTGTGTGGCACAAGCGACAAAATTTCAGACAGGGGCGCGAGATGCTGTCTAGATCGGTAGCTGCACGCCTGGCCCCAGCAGCCTGGAGCCACTTGAGAGGTGCCTGGGAATTACCAGTATGTGTTTGCGGCGCCACGAAGCCGGCGCCGCAACTTCAGTGGCATGCGCACGCCGCGCCTTGGGCGGCACACACAAGCGGCGCGTCGCTGCTGCTGCAGCAGTTGCCTGGCAGCCCGGCAAGCGTGCGCCACTTTCTTGGCGGCCTCGTGGAAGAGCCCAGCAAGACGTACAACGAGCGACGTCTTCTTGGGTGAGCCGCGCTTGACAACAACGTGTCCTAGCAGCCGAGGAGTCGTCGCTGTGGTCATTCAATCAGAGCGCCAGGTGGCGATTGCCTCTGCCTTGCTGGCGGCATGCCCTGGCATAGGCAAGCAGTGCCTGTTGCTGCCGGCGCTGGCTGCACAGCGTCCGACGTGGTCCTCGCCCTTCCTGCGTCTCCCCACAGCTGGTCTCCCGAGCAGCTGTACACTGTGGTGTCTGCCGTCGACCAGTATTCCCAGTTTGTGCCGTGGTGCGCCAAGTCCAGGGTGCTGGTAGACCGGCCCCGCAAGGATGGGGGCTACATGGAGGCCGAGCTGGAGGTTGGGTTCCAGGTGTTCAATGAACGGTGAGTTGCTTGGGGGTGCCCAGCACTGGTGGTGCACGTCAGGGGTCGGCGCAGCTCGCCCTGGATGGCGCAATTCACGCAGCACATGGGGCTTGCAGACAAAGGTAGTGTGAGCACATGCTTGGTGCTTTGCAGCGTTTCACCAGCATCTTGGCCAAACTGGTCATTGAGACTGCTCCCTGCATGCTCCAGGCGGTTGTTGTGCCAGCGCTCATCGCCATCGCTCTACCAAAACCCACCTCACCAGGTACACCAGCAAGGTCACAATGCAGCGGCCGCACCGCGTCCACAGCAGCGTCGACGACAGCAGCCTGTTTGACCACCTCGAGTCCACCTGGGTGCTGCGCCCGGGGCCGCAGCCGGGCACCACCTGGCTCGTCTTCAAGGTCGATTTTGCGTTCAGGTCGGCGCTGTACCGCCACGTGGCGGACCTCTTCTTCGACCAGGTGGTGCGGCGCATGATGGGGGCCTTTGAGGGGCGCTGCGCGCAGCTCTACGGGCCCTCGACGCTGGCCACAGGCGGGGCTGGTGCCGGCGCGCGGCGGCAGCCAGCCGGCGCGGGCGTGGGGGCTGGCGGTGACCACCTGCCCCACTACCAGCAGCGGCAGCACATCCAGCAGCAGCAGCAGCAGCAGCAGCAGCATCATGCGCGATCGCAGATTCTGCATCAGCAGCCGTACGCGGGCGACCGGCTGGAGCCCCTGGGGCCTCGGGGAGGCGGTGGCGCACCACAGGCGAGGCAGCAGCGGCCGGCGCTTCAGGCACCGCCTAACAGCGGTGTCGAAGGCCCGTGAAGCCTCCTTTTTTGCAAGCCAAGACTCGATGACTTCTTTCTCTGCGTTGCATTCTTTCATATTTTGAACGTGATTTTGACTTAGCTTTCTGGATAACCGCAATGGACGTACCTTGAATACAGGTGTAACCCTGCATTTACCGGTGTTTGATGTACCGTTGGCCTGCCAGACCAACAAGGTCTCCGTCAACGGAGTCCGCGCAGTCCCAGTGATGCGCCCTTTGAACCCACCTCAGCCAGAACGCCAGCGGAGGCCAGCCCATGCCTGCAGTGCACACTGGTGCGAGTTTGTTTCCGCAGTCGTGTCTATCATGGCCTACAGGTACCGCGTGAAGTCCAGCAGCGTCCTGTCAGCCTGCCAGCTCGAGCTGGTCCGTAGTGGCGCTTCGTCACATGACGAACCGCACACCGCCGATCCACATCGCATGCCCCACATGATGCAGTGAAGACGTTGTAAGGTATGTTGTTCCCAACATACAATATTAGCTCAAGCCCTTGTCATGGCGCACGATGCGGACACCAGCGCGGCTGTAATGGAGCAAGGCGCGGGACCGGAGGAGCTCGTTTGGTACCTTGGCTACGTGAGGCAAAAGGATTTCACAGATTGTCTCTTTAGGGACTCTGCCCTGGCCCAACCAACTACTGCCCGCCCGCGGAGGCGCCTCCGGCACATCGCGCCTCGGGCACGCCCAGCAGCGCTTGCCAACACGCGCCCCCGGCTTTCTTGTCCTCACACCATCTGCCAGGGGTCTATGGTGAACCCTGTGTCGCTGAAACGCCGCGGCGTGCTGCCCAGCAAGTCCATGCCCATCACATTGGAGGGATTTGACCTGGTAAACTAGCCCTCGCTGACAGGACACTAGGAATCATCGTGCGGGGCTGCTGCAATATCGGCCGCCCTGGACACCTTTCTGGAGCCCTGAGCTGCTCACATCTGGGAATCGTGGGGCCGTGGCTTGTCATCCGCGAGAACGAATCTGGTGGTGGTGGGCCAGGGAACACACTTGGGAACCAAGCCTCTGCAGTGCCTGCACCACGCCACCAGCCGGCACGCCCTCGCCCCACAACACCCTGGGCCTGACGGTCATAATCCACCTCCAGGAGTTTTCCATGAACGGGATGGCCAACATAGCGGCGCGGGAGGGGGCGGTGATGCACGGCGTGGCGCACCTCGTCACACCCCAGGTCGGTCTGCAGCTCAGGGCAGGGCTGGCAGTGGGAGGGGGTGCGAGGTGGTGGTGGTTTGTGAGGAGGCAAGGGATGGCGGCGTAAGAATTCAACTATTTTTGGGCTGGTAGGGGGGCTCAACCACGCCCTGCCCCGCATCCAAACTGGGCCGGTTGTAGCTCGCGTTGCAAACGTGCTGCTGCCCCCACATGCCGCCCAGCGGCAGCCGCAGCCTGATGCTCCCGGTCATGCCTCGGCGCCACTGCTGAAATGACGACGCGCCCCCCCTGCCTTGACGGCTGCTGCATCAACTCTCATGCCCACCTGACCCCATATCGACCCCGCGGAAGCCTTGTTCCACCCTACCCGCCCACCCCAACAGATGTTTGAGGTGCTGGCCAAGATAGAGTCAGTCTACAACTACACTCTCGTTACCTGCCGCCCCTACGACGACTCAGCCCCCCCAGTCCAGGCGCGCGCCTTCATCGTGCCGCTTGAGACGATCGCGGCGCACAAGCGCCACCTGGAAGAGCGTGGGCAGTCAACCCTGGAGCTGCCCTCAGAACGGTGGGTGCGCGCGCGCCAAATGTATGCGCCAGGCGTTTGAGCATCGCGCGACGGCTCTGCTGCCTGATGCCGCGGCAGCACGCTGCCAAACAGATCCTCAGGGGTGAGCCGGCTTGCCTTGATTGTGCCTCCTGACTGCTCGCCGTGCATGGTCTGCACTGCCCGGGACAACACAACAGTTTGCCTGCAGCACCATTAGCACCTGATGTCATGCCACCCAACCCGTGCGTCTGCCGCCAGGTACATCCGCATCATTACAGAGGGCCTCCGCCACTTTGGCGCCGCCCCCTCCTGGATCGCGCGCATCGAGGCGCAGCCTTTTAACCCCGCCCGCCCGCGCGCGCAGTGGTTGACGGCGCCCGAGGCGCCGCGATCCAACGGGGAGGCGCTGCCCCTCTTCACCCTGGCCCAGCTGGCGGAACACAAGGTGAAGCGAGTAGGGGGCAGGCAGGGGATGGGGGTTGAGGGTCAGGGGTTGAGGGATCACACTTTAAGGAGTTCGGGCATTCATAGCAAGCGAGGTTGGTAGGTGTTTCACAACATGGGTGGATCTGGGCTGGGTATTAGACAGCCAACCAAATATGATGAGGTTGGAGAAAGAATAAGCAGGTAGTAACCAGGAGGACAATGTGCTGTGGGCGACAGCCGCTTTGACCCCCGCTCAACATGGCTTGGCACGGGGTTGTGGGCATGGCCTGCAGCTCTGACGCTGGTGATCGACATGTTGCCCGCGTACACATCTCAATTTGACGTACACCGCCACCCTGCCCGCGTGTGCACTCCCACCCCTCCCCCAGGGCCGCCTGCCTGCCTACTATGCATGTGGCCGCAAGGTCCTGCGGGCATTGGCGCCAGGCGGCCACCCCTTCTCCTCCATCTATAAGATGCTCAGCGGCACACAGGTGGGGCTGGCTGTGGGCCGGGGCTGTGCTGGGTGGGAACGGGGCCGCGAGTGCAGGGACGGTTTGACCCGAGAGAGGAGGCACGACCAGGCATCCCCTGTATCCTTCACTCCCCCCACACTGGCTGGCTTTTGTGTTACATGCTGCGGGTCGCAGCAATCCCTGCCCTTCAGGTGCTGACCTGGCCCTTGGAGGTAGCGTCACATGGCTCCTGCGCTGCAACCGCTCCTCAGCTGCAACCTTCCCTTCCTGCCCCCACACCCACCTCATGGCAGTCTGTCCTCTTCATGTGTTCCGTCCTGTGAGTGCCCCGTCTGCGTTGATGGTGGCAGGGGGGATCAAGCCGGCGGGTGGCGGGGCCTGGCACGCCTGACAGGTGCTGGATGCCACAACAGCATTGCAGCCTGAATATCTGCACTGCAGCTCTGTCTGACCCGACACAACACCCTCCCAGCTGTTTTTCACCAGCCCATGCGCGCAACTGCTGCCGGTCCTTGCTGCTGCGCGCGCCCCGCTGCAGCTACGACCCCAGCCTGCCTCCTGTGGAGGGCCCTGACGACGTCCAGGAGGTCCACGTGGCCTGGGCCGAGGACCTGGCCATGGAGACAGCCCTCAAGTGAGGAACGCGGCCAGCCGTTGGGGCATGTGTGTTTTTGAGTTTGTGCGTGCATATACACGCGCGCGCGCATGTGTGTGTGTGTGTGTGTGTGTGTGTGTGTGTGCAAACATGCGCGCATTTTGCGATCAAAGGGGCTATTGCTGCTGAGTTCTTGAGAGTTCGTTGCTTAAGAATGCAGACATGAGCGAAATCGTTTACAGGTGTCTCATGGCTGCGCATAAAAAAGTAGTACAGTAGTGCGTTTGTCAAGGCAAGCACGACAAGCCTCATCAACCCTCTGGTGGACTGCCGCAACAACAAGCTGCTGGAGCCATCACGGCCTGTGCGGTCTGTCCCTGACTGCCCCCAGCCCCTTTTCATGCGCTGCCAACTGCGACCTCACCTAGCCAGCAACTCTCTGCTCACCCTGATTTCGCCTCACCAGGTATGACTTCAAGCTGGAGGTTGTCGGCTACCTGGCAGACGGGGAGGTGGCACACGGGGAGGGGGGCGTACGCAAGTAGAACGGGGGCGACGCAGGCAGCACCGGCAACATCAAGACTGGCAACGCGCTGATATTGTGAGCCGTGGAGAACGCACCTTTCTCCAAATGCCAATTTGACTAAGCGGGTGTGCAACCTGCGATAGTTTCATGCCATAGTACGCCGACAGGATCCCTACCCTGACTTGGATGCTCGCCCAGCACAGCCTGACGCACCTGCTGCTCAATGCTGCGGCACACCGCAACATGCACTGTTGCGGATCTATCTGTCGACATACGCTGTATCTGTCTGCTCAGCAACCAACAGGGGCTAACGCCTGACACCCTGTATGTCATTTGTATTACGATGCATGCCACGTCCTGGTGTGCAACACAGCGCGCAGCACCCAAAGCATGAACATCCACGGCAGCGAGCCATGTGCTTTATTGCCAAGGGCTTGCACCGCAGAGAAACCTATGAACGCACTTGCATATCTGCCGCCGTTCAGGCTGATCCCACTGCAGGGTGGCGCCCAAAGTAGCATTATTAAACATGCATGGCCTGCAACTCGGCTTGCAATCGCACACGCGAGCGCAGAGCCCAAGCCGGCTGTAACCTTATGCGGCGGGTGCCTGCCGTCAACGCGCAGCACAGCGCACTCGCAAAACGGGTGGGAAGCTGGACGAAAATCATCGAAGCAGCACCATGATTGTTGTGTGGCAATGCGGACCCGGGACCATCATGCGTGGCCGCATCCCCCTTCCCCGCCATTGCCTCAAGCTAGACGCGTGCTGCGGGCGCTGGGACCACAGCAGGAGTTTGGGCGCTGGTGTCAAATGTGTTGCGCGCTGCAGCTACTGCCCCCAGCGAATGCTGCACAGCAAACGTGGCCGCATGTGCATGCATGAGAGCTGCGCAGACGGTCCTGGTGTATGAGCAGTGAGGTGGAGCAGGCGCCATCGTTTTGTGTCGTGATGGCGGCGCAGGGGTAAAGCCGCTGTTGAGGTTGGATGAGTAGCGGCCCCGCCGTTGAGGCACAACTCAAGGCCTGACTCGCACCCAGGCCTAGAGTGCTCTCAGCGGCACTGGAACCCCAAAAGAACAGCCTAGCCAAGGCGGTGGCAGGAACTTGGCCGCCGTTCGGCATTTGTTCACACCGCTGGCCTGGCTGGCCAGGCGCACATGTACTGTGCACATCGTGATGTGCGGAAAATGAGTGCAGCAGAGTGCGCTTCCATCCCTGTGGTATGCCACGCGCCACGGTGGCCGGTGGGGTCGATGGTGTGTTGGTACAACAAGGGGTGCCTGGCTGCGCAACATGCCGGCGATAGCGCAGCATGAGTATACCCTCTGGTGGAGGGCGCATGCCAGATTGCTAAACAAGCGCATGCTATGAATGCAGAGTGAGGGGGGCGCCTGGCTGGTGGTTTGACGGTGTTGGCAACTGGATGGGAGGGCAAGCAGGCGCGACATCGTGTGGCCACGCCCCGGCCTTTGTATGCGCCCGGGTGAGGGCAAGGCCGCAGACTTTGGGGGGTGATACATGTCTCTGGGTTGGCCGCCGCTTGCTTTGATTCAAGGTGCGACGGCAGGAGGGTGGTGAGACACCGGTACAAAATGTGACAGAAGAGGGCGATAGATCATACGGTACAAAGCGCTTCAAGGCAAAACAAGCGAAATGTTAGGGTACAGGCGGCATTCGTGCCAAGAGGTGATGGCAGGGCACAGCAAAACAAGCAAAACAAGCCCCGCCAGCCCTGCACGCAGCGGCCACAGGGCGCACAGGGTTGCTGCGGCAGTCCTGAGTGGTGTGCAACAGCCAGCAGTACCAGTAATACCACGCCTCGCACTGGCCAATCTTTGCACGCTGCCTATCCAGGCCCCGTTGCCAGGGTCGGGTGGCGCGCCTGCAATTGGGGCGCCTCAAGGCAGGCACCTAAGACAGGGCAGGGGCAGCGAGAGACCACCCCGATGCATTCCAAAAATGTCCTCTCATCAACCAGCACAATCAGGGCGACACTCCATCCTATCGCCCTGTGAATGGCCGCCAGCCCTGACAACGGCCCAGCGCAGAGCGCCCGCACGTGGTTCTCTGCTGTCTCTCGACAGAGAGGGACAGCGGGGTTGTGTGGCGGTGTGCCTGCGGCGCCCGCGCGCAGCTCTTGGGGGTCAGCCCCGCCAGGTGGGAATGTCGCCTCGCACACCCGCTCACGAGCTGTAGCCGTCGCTCCAGCTGCTGCCAGTGCTCCAGTCGCCGGAGCAGCAGCCACCACCACGCGGGGCCGCGCAGCCGGCGTAATTCGCAAACACCAGCTGCACGGCCTCGGCTCCCTGCGCACCACACGCGCCGACAACGATGGGCGGCCCGCTGTGCAGCGTGCCAAACACGGGGCTGCCGGGGCGCGAGCCGCTCCAGTCCGCGGCGCCGGCGGCGCCGTCGCTGGACACGTGGGATGCGATGTGGCCGATGACGAGGAAGAGCAGGCCTGGGACGAGCCAGTTGAGCACGCGCAGGTGGGGGCTCGGGCCCAGACCCCTACGCGACGCGGGGAGCGGCGCGCTGTAGTCGCTCCCCGCAGAGCTCGAGGAGTCGTCGGCGCTGCTGCTGCTGATGCCGGGTGACGCGGGGGCGCGGCACAGGGTGTCCTGCAGGGGAGCGGGACGGCAAGTTGAGATCGATTGGCTGCGGCGGCGCGTTTGAATTTTTGGAGCTGCAGGCAAAGTCCTTGCTGCACATCAGATACCGGCCCAGCACACACACAAAGCTCGTCTCCCGCCGCCTCGCTCTCCGAGGTCCTTGCCCCAAGCTCACCGGTAAGCCCCCGACGAGCGCCTCGCTGATGCGCCCCTCCTGCTCTGCCCCAGCGTAAGCGTCTGCCATGGTAACATCACCGCCCGCCGGTTGTGCACTGTCATCGTCCTTAGACATGACCACCCGCACACAGCTGTGCCCTGGCTCGCCGGACGCGGCCGGCGCCAGGGCCAGCTGCAAGTTCAGCTCAGAGCCCTCGCCCTGGGCCTCATGCACGGATGTAGCGGATGGCGGCCCCAGAAAGACGGCTGCATCACTGCTCGCTGCGTCTGTCGAGGGCGGGACGGCTGCGCCGGACGGGCTGAAGAAGCGGGCGAGCAGGTGGCTTGTATCGACAGCGCTGCTGGCCCCAGGAGCAGCAGCCTCATTGAGACCGTCTTGCCAGCTGCATGAGGGCGATATGGCCTCGTAACTAAGCGTGCTGCGCGGCGACGGCGGTGTGGCACGTGCCGCGCGTGCTGCGCCCGCGCCGTCGCGATTGCCGTTGTCATCGTGTGTGGGCGCCGGGAGGACCGCGGCCTGCTCAGCCTCGCCCATCGCTTCGTCACAAAACACCCAAGCATCGTCGCCGTCGCCCAAAACACCTGCGCGCACGCACGGCGAACGTCCGGCATGTTTTGAAGGGCCCGCGCTTCCCGCAAGCAGAGCAGCGGTCAACCGATGTGCAATCCCACCGGCGTCGTTGCGTTGAGTCCGAGTCATGACGCGGCTACGCTGGGTGCTGGCCCGCGGGGTGGCACAAACAAGCTGTGTCAGCTCAGGCACTCGGGTGTCTTGATCTCGCTAGGCGCGCACTGGGCAGTACTATATGGTCAGGGATTTTGAAAATGAGGATCAGACCGCGCTTTGTACGCCACCTGGAGAGGTTCTCCGCCTGCTCGGCCGGTCCAGCTCCTCTGATGATATCAAGGTGATGTACCGTCCAATGCTGCTCAACATCTTCATGGGCCAAACCCCTAGCCGAGCGCAAGACATATACACGGGTGGGTTCAAGAAGTCCACGTCCACCCGACCGCGCAAGTGGTGGTTTGCTTCAAAAACGAAACGAGCAAGGTCAAAACGAAGCCCGGACCGCCTTATCAATCCGCGTTAAGGCGTTCGGTTAGGCCGTTGACACCGCCCTTAGCCTGGATGTGGAGGCTGGGGGCGGGAGCGGCCCCACACCCCTCGATGGACGTGCGTGCATGCTCGTGCTGCCTGAGGCGGGTACCAGGTGGCGCTCAAGCCCGCAAAGGTTCCACATACGCATTGCTGGTTTTAACGGCGCTTACAGGTGCGTGTACACAAGCGAGGGCGCGACCGCTGCAGCCGCTGCTGTGCACGGGTAGCTGCAGCACCGGCGTCAGCCGCTGCAATAGGGCTTCAAGTTGCCTGATTTGAGCAATAGCACACACGCACAGTCTGACATGATCACAAACAGCAAAATGGACACCCTTCAATCGACCAACCGCCTCGCAGCCGCCTTGTTTACAGCGCCGGCGCACGCTGCGGCGGCGTCCGCCGCGGCAGCGCTGACGGCGAGGGACACGGGCGTGCGCGTGGCTCTCGTCGGCGCGGCCGCGGTGCCAGCCAACCGGTTCTCATGGTCGGCGGCCGCGCGCGCCAGCCCCGCCGGCCTCACTGTGCGCGGCGACGGCCGCCAGGTGGGCACCGTGGAGTATGCCGTCAGCTACAACCGCAGCGGCCCCGCGCGCTCCTGGCTGCTGACCGGCAGCGTCACCGTGGCCAATGCAGCGGGCGGCGTCGCGGCGACGCTGTCAGAGGTGCAGGTTGAAGCACAGCTGCTGGCGCCGGGCGCAGCGCCCGTCAGCGGGCCGGCCGACTGCGCAAGCGACGAGACGGGCGCGGTGCGGCTGGCGCCGGGGGCCCGCGTAACGTGCCCCTTTGCGCTAGAGCTGCCTCGCGGTAGTGCGACGCGGGCGGTGTCGGTCGTTGGGCAGGCGACGCTGGCGGGCGGCGGCGGGCAGCTGGGCAGCACGGCAGCATTTATTGCGCTGGCAAGCGCGGCTTCAGACCCAGCCGTCGACCTGGGGCGCTGCGCAGTGCTGACAGACACCTTTGCGCCAGGCGGGGTGCTGCCTAGCGGGCTTTATGGGGGCAAGCGACCCAACATCGGGAGCGGTACCTTTGTGTGTGACCCTGTTGAGGTGCAGTACGTGGCCAGCTTCGGGCCGTTCTCCGGCTTGGCAGCTTGCGGCACCTACCGCGCTATGCAGGTCGCGCGCGCCAACCCCCTCGGGGGCGAGCAGCTGACGGCGATCGCGTCCAGCGCAGTGCTGCTGGTCGTGGACGGCTGCCAGACAGCAGCCGCGGCGGCGCCGGCGCCTCTGCTGCTGCCGCCAACGCCGTCGCCGCCGCCGCCTCAGTCACCACCGCCGCCGCCTCCGTCGCCGCCGCCGCCGCCGCCCTTCGTTGCGCCACGGCAGCCCCCGCAGCTGCTGCCGCAGTCACCGTCGCCCGTCCCGCCGGCGGCGGGTGAGTACTCATACACCTATGAGTACGAGGAGAAGCCCAAGGGACCGTCACCGGGTGACATCACGTACGACGACAGCCGGGCCGCAGGCCGCCGCCGTCGCCGGCTGCAGGTGGCACGGGACTGGCATGTCGCGGCAGAAGCAGCCGGCCTGGTACGATCGCACGTGAACACTGCGACAGCTGCTGGGGCTGAGTGGTGGGCGCCCAGCCTTGGGGTGATGGAGGACCCATGGCCCATGGCAGATGCGGCGAGCTGGGACCAGCCAGTCACAGGCGAGGCGGAGTTTGGCGAGCCAATGCGACTGGTGCCACCACAACAGCAGCAGCAGGAGCAGCAGCAGGAGCAGCAGCCTGGACAAGGGCCAGCAACAAAAGCAGCACATCATGATGATGTCGTACAGGAGTTGCGCGATCACAGCTGGCCATGGCAATGGCAGCAGCTGTCCCAGCACGACAGGCGACCTCAGCTGCAGGCGCCAGGGGCTGGCAACGGCTCGACCCCGCAAGGGCAGCAGCAGCGCCATCTGCTGGCGAGCCCGACGCCACCCCCCAGGCCCACCATTGCCATTTTAGGCCTGCAGGTGGCGAAGCCCGTCGCTTACGACTGGCAGCCCAAAGTAGCGGCCAGCCCCAAGTCTGTGGTCGTGCAGCGCGGTGCCAGCGCGGCCGTCCAATACAATGTCACCTTCACGCGCTCGCAGCGCGCAGCGGGCCACCTGCTCACCGGCTCCGTCCGCATTGCCAATCCGGCCGCCGCCCCCATGGCGCTCGCCAAGGTGACCGTCGAGGTACCGCGCCCCGCCGGCGCGGCCGCGGCGTGGGTCCGCGCGTCGTGCCCGGTCGACGCCAAGGGCGCGCTGCTGCCCATCGCCGCGAAGGGCGGCGTGACCTGCGGGTTCACGCTGCCGTATGCGTCGGCCGTGCCGCTGGGCACGGTGGTGGCGCGCGCTGTCGGGGTGGCCGGGTCAGAGCACAGCAGCGGCGCCGTCCCCTTCACGACTGCCAGAGCGGCCCGGCAGGTGCTGGGCGCGTGTGCGCTGGCCAGCGACACGTTCGCGCGGCCGGAGGCATCCCAGCCCCTGCTGTTGGCGCCGGCTGCGCTCAACGCGAAGCCGGCGTCGGGCAGCAAAGCCCCGGAGCTGCCGGGCGGGCAGCTGCTGTGCGGCACCCAGGCCTTCTCCTATACGGCGCGCATTGGCCCCATCCCCAGCGCAATGCGCTGCGGCTCCTTCAAGGTGAGCGTTGTCATGGTGGTGTGACGGGGTGGATGACTCTCTCTCTCCCAATCTCTCTTCCACGACACGACATCTTGCACCCCGGAATTCTTGCCCGTGACCCAGGATTGCGCACCACCATGCCGCCGTCACCTCGCACCACGCAACCCCGCTACGCCCACAGGTGGTCACCACGGCGCGCGCCAGCGCGACCAACGGCACACAGCCCACCGCGGCCGCAACGGCTTCCGTCGCTGTCGAGGTCGCGGGCTGCCCGCCGTCCGCTTCCACATCCCCCACGCTCGCCCAGCTGCTGGCCACTGGCGGGCCACTCGCAACGCGCAGCAGCTCGAGCAACGCGCCGCCAGCGCCGGCCGGCGGCAGCATCAGCGCTGCCGGCCTGACGCCGGGCCTGCAGTTGGAGTCGGGGGCGTGGGACCCGTCAGCGGCCGAGCCACAGGGCGCCGCCGCTGGCGCTGCTGCGCCGCTGCAGCTGCCGCTCGTGTCGGCTTTGGTGGCGGGCGTGCGGCCGTCGTCTGCGTTCAGTTGGTCTGTGAGGTCGCAGCCTGCGCCGCCCTCGATGGCGCTGGCGTACTCTGCCTCTGCGGAGGCGGCCTTCACTGTGGTCTACACCCGGACCCCCAACTCCGCCGCCGGCCGCCGTGCGGTGACGGGGCGCATCACTGTGACTAATCCCAATCTGATTGACGACCTGCCCCTGGCGCGCGTCCAGGTGGAGCTGTTCCGGCCGGGCGCGGCCGGGCGCGGCGCCGCGGCGCTGGCGACGTGCGCGCGCACCGCCGACGGACTGCTTGTCGCTGGCAGCCAGCTGACAGGGACGGGGGCGCTGGAGTGCGCATTCAGCCTGGAGGCGTCCGCCGCAGAGGTCGGGCCGGGGGCGATGGTGACGGCTGTGGTGGTGCTGCCTGATGGCAGGGAGGCGGCAAGCGCCCCCGTCACCCTTCCCTCTGCAGACAGCAGCAGCAGCAGCAGCAGCGGGAGCGGGGTTGGCGTTACTGGCAGCATTGCCGCCCCAGCAGGAAGGGCTTTTGGGGAGTGCGCGGCGCTGTCTGACAAGTTTGTGATGCTGGGGGATGACGGCAGCCGCCTGATGCCATCGCGCGCTGTGTCGGCGTCTGCAGCCAACCGCCTGCCGGGCGAAGGCGGCGGCGGTGCGCCGCCAGATGTGGTGTGCGACAGCCGCACTGTGACTTATTCGGCGGTGTTTGGGCCGCTGGGCGCGGCGGCGTGCGGGACCTACACGGTGAGATGCCTTCCTGCGGGGCGCGGGCGTTGGCAGTGTGTGGGTTGCAGCACTTTGGTGAAGGATGGCCTGAAACAGCAAATCACAAATTTCATGCGTAAGGCTCCAGCAGTTGGTCACTTGGATAAATGCAACGGTATGCCCCTTCCAAACTCGCATCGACAGGCCTCCAACATGGTGAAGGCAGACCCCACCTCCGGGCCCCAGCGCACCGCGGCCGCGCTTGCCGATGTCACCCTGACCGTGAAGGGCTGCCCCGGCGCCGTCGTGCGTCCCGAGGTGCTGTCCGCTGTCCCCCAGGTCCTCTCGGGCAGCATGTGGGGCATCAGCGCCTACGTGGACGCGCCCACCATCACGCTGCACTGGTCCAGGAGCGCGCGCGTCGAGTTCAGCGCAGGGTATGTGCCCAAGCCGGCCGCAACGCTCCAGGTCATTGCAGGCGCGGCGCGCGTCCAGAACCTTGGGTCTGCCGCGGCGCAACTGTCGAGCGTGCAGGCAGAGGTGGCCGCGGCTGACGGTTTGGCTCCGCCAGCGTCTGTGGCGGCCGACTGTGGGCTTCCTGCCGACGGGACACTCGCGGCGGGCGCCAGCGTCGTCTGCCGCTTCGCTGCGCCCTACCCAGACGCGAGCAGCGGCAGCGTCTCAGTGCGAGCACTGCTCGCGGGCGGCGCTGGCGACCGCAGCAGCCGGCCGCTGACATTTGACTTTGGGCAGACGGTCAAGCGCGTCGCGGCGGGCGGCTGCGCGGTGGTGTCGGACGGGTTCCTGTCGGGCGGCTCCCAGCTGGCGCCCAACTCAACCAGCCGGCCGCGCGAGGCTGAGGCGCCCCAGATGATATGCGACGGCCAGAGCATCAGCTTTGGCGCGCAGCTGGGGCCATACACTCGCAAGTCGTGCGGCAGCTACCTGGTGGGTTTACGCTTGGGGAGGGGTGGCAGAGATGGCGTGTTCGTCTGCTGCACTTGCAATTTGTGTCGCAGCGCGCGCCAGTGATGCCTCGTTCGCTACAGCGCAGCGCTGAAGAAGGTCCCAGGGCCCCGGCTTGCATGTGGTGCTGGACCAAGACCACGGCCACCTCCTTGCTGATGTCACTTGCTTATTGTGCGGCATTGCAGGTGACATACATGGCTCGCGTCAACCCGGTTACGGGTGACATGCCGGTGCCCGCGCAGAGCGCGTCATCTACGGTGCAGCTGACCATCACCGGCTGCTGACCGCAACACTGCGCGGCACCATGAGTGGAGAGGCACAGCCCTCAATGCGTAGCATTGGCGCAGTCATCAAGCACACGGCTTTGATCGCGAGAGCTAGCTGAACGCGACTGCCTGCTACTGCTACATTGTCAGCACGTCAAGGGGGGTTCCTCAATGCCAGCATCTTCTGGAGCAAACTGCAGATGTCAACCCCTCTCAGCCGCGGCTCAGGATTTGGCCCACGGCTCCCGCATCCCTTGAGCGTGTCGGCGCCATGCTTAAACCCTTGCTTCGCACCTGTGGTTAGCAATGGGCATGCAACACATTTTTGGGCCAATGCTGCGTGCGCTTACTGAAACCGCTGTTTATCATGTTGCAGGCCTGCCTTCGCTTTGCTAAATTTACTTTGAACTTGCAGCCCCTCAACACGGCACATATGCGTGGCTCAAAGGGGCAGCTACAATCCATTTACAGTTAATGTGGGCGGGCAGCAGGGTGTGCATTGTTGGCTTGGGGCTCATGAACTTCAAGACCAGGGGCATGGGTGCTGCCGGCTGTCATGCCAGCCAGCATGATTGGGACCCGCTTGCCCGCGCAGCCAGAGTTGCCTGCTCGCTGTGAAAATTGGTAAACTCGTGGAGCCGCACCGTCCCAGTGTCCTCTGTCGTGTGGAGCGTCAAGATGATATGTGGGGACTTCTGAGTCTGCCAACATGCCGCCAGCCAATGGGGTATTTGCGGTATTCCATGCGATGCTACACGGAGTAGAGTAGAGTAGAGTGGACCAGGCGCTGGGCACCCAGTATGCTTTGAGGACGGGCGCGGGGGTCAGGCAACCGCCCTGGCCCCCGCTGTCCCACCAGTGCGGGGGACCTGGGACCCCGTTGGGCGTTTGGGGATCCCCAGGTGACGCTCTTAGGCTCCGCCTTGCGGTGCCGCCTCAAACACACTTTTTGCCTATGACTCTGAGCAGACAGAGGCGGGACCCGCGCGGCCGTTTGCGCACTAACCTGGGGGTCCGGTTCCCGTCGCTGCCTCGTCCTCGCCACCGCGTGTGACCCTGGCCGCCGCCGCTTTCGCCTAGAACCCCCCAGCGCCAGGCGCGCTGTGACGACCCGGTGGGTGTGGCACAAAGCACTGCCATGCAGGTCGCGGCGCACGCGGGCTAGGTCCTTCCGCTCCACTCCCAGCTGCAGCAGAGTTGGGTCAAGGGCGTGTTGTATCCCCCCCGCGACCCCAAGTGGGATGACGTGCAAGCGGGCGATTAGGCCCGGCTGTGAGGACAGTCGCTCCACAAGCAGGCGGTGTTGGCTCTCAGCTATGTCATACACCCTGTCCAGGTCATAATCCATAGTGCACTTCAACTCAACCACATGACCAGTCTTGAGCCCCCGGCCAGGCTCCTTTGGCTGCTCTTCAATGACTACGTCTAGGCGGCTGAGCTTGCAGCTGCTGGGCTGCAGGCGACGACGGTCGCCTGCGCGAGGAATGGCATCGCTACCGTCACGCTGCTCCAACCCAGACGGGTCTGCACGCGGTAAGCCAGGGGCCCACCCAAGCAGGTCTGTGGGCACGCGGGCGGGGATGAGCAAGGCCGCACCCAAGTCCCCCATGTCATGGGAGCCTTGCCCTATGTCAGCCATCCTGACGCCCCCTGCCAGCGCGCCGCGCAGAAACGCAGCCAGCAGGATGCGGCTAGCCGCATTGTGACGCACCGTATGCTGCGGTTGCACTCGCCACAGGCCAGGGCAGCATGAGTTATCCCATCCATTTGACCGCACATACAGGGGGTACAGCGGGTTTGGGCCCTGTCCGTCCCTGTGGCCGATCTTGTAGGTGGACAGTGCGCAAGTGCGAATGCGCATGGACGTCAACGCTTTGCTAGTTGGGGCGGAGCCTGGGTGCGTGAGGTGGCGATTTGAGGAGGTGCGTGAGGTGGCGATTTGAGGATGCTACAAACGGGTCAAACTGACAGCACAGGTGATCAGCCAGGTCAAGGGGTATGTGCAGGGGCCTACCTGCCATGCTAGACCTCATGTAGATGCCCCACGCCCTTGAAGATTGGTTGACGCACCTGGGCACTTGTACCCCCGGGGAAGTGAGGGTGGTGGTGCGCACACCTCCGGTAGCCGAAGCCCAAGCCTGTAGTCAGCTTCGGTGACGAGGGTGTCTCAGAAGCAAGGAGCGGCGAGCTGTGGGCCGACAGCATATGTTGATTGCGTACGAGCATCTCTATACGATCCGCAGCTTCTCATGGATTGCCCTTGACAAGCAGCTGAGTTAGTGTAGATCGCCGCGTGGCAGCCATGCTCGCTTACCGTGGTTTCAATGACGTGAAATGTAGACTTTATGCGACATCACAGCGTGCCCGCTCAGCGGTCGCTTTCGCGAGCGGCCGACGAGCGCCGCCCTGGCAGCAGCGCGCACCTGCCGTGCCGCCGCAGCCGGCTGAAGCAGTGCAGCGCCTTATACAAATGGCGCAGCAACCGGGAATCCCCCTGGGCAGCGTCACTGCCTTGGTGAGCGCGCTAACGCTTTGTTGTAAAGCGCCTGTGCGCCACCAGCAGCCCAGCAAACCTGCTGACTGCACTCGTTCCGAGCCTCCCCCCCCCTGTCTGGCCCACAGCTATAGTGCCACGGCCCCCCCTTTTCTGCAGCAACTGCTGACCATTGTGGAGGACAGCCTGCCCCAGCTGCTGCCCTCCATCAGCACCGCGGACCTCTGCAGCCTGCTGTGGGCGGCGGTGCGGCTGCAGGTACGCCCGGACGACGCCCACCTGGAGGCGATCGTGGCAGAGCTCACGCGCCCGGGGTACCGCTCAGCGGCAGCCTCCATCGCAATGGCAGGCACAGGCGCGCGCGCGGCCGCGTCGTCGGCGTCGGCGTGGCGGCAGTCGCAGCTCGAGGAGCGGCGCCGCAGCCACGCGTTCGCAGGCCCCAGCTCCGGCGGCGGCGGCAGCGGCGAGGGCTCCGGCGGCGACGGCGGCAGCAGCGTGGTCGAGGGCGGCGCCTCGACCCTGCGGCACAGCTACAGCTACAGCCGCCTGCAGCTGGCCAGCCCCCGCGACCTGGGGGCCCTGGCCTACGCCCTGGACTTCCTCAAGTTCAACAGCCCGGGATTCTGGGCCGCAGCAGCAGAGGCGGCGCTGCCGGAGCTGCCCGGCCTCGCACCCAACGTGCTGACCAACCTGCTGACAGGAGTTGCACACAGCGCTGTGACGGGGGCGCGCGCGGAGGCCGCGGCCGGCGGCGGCGGCGGCGGCGGCGGCGGCGGGCAGCGGGGGTTGCGGGAAGGGGGCCGTGGGCGGGCGCGACGGGCGGGCCCGCTGGCGGCCGCGCCCACGGCGATGGCCCCCGCAGGCCGCGAGCTGTTCCGCGCCGCCGCCGCGTTGCTCACGGAGGAGCCCTCCCGCCTGCACCGCTTCCGGCCGCGCGACCTCGCATCCCTCCTGGCCGCCTTTGCCACCGCGGGCGCACGCGCGCCTGGCCTTTTCTCGGAAGTCGCGCGGCAGCTTCTCCTCGACCCGACCGGCCGCCGGCTGCCGGCGCTGCGCGCGCGCGACGCGGCGCTGATGACGTGGGCGTGCGTCCACGCGCTGTGCCCCAACACGCAGCTGCTCGCGGCGCTGGCGGCGGTCCTGCGGCGCCGCGCGTCCGCCCTCGCGCCGCACCACGCGGCGCTCGCGCTGTGGGCGCTCGCGACAGCTGGGCCGCGCGACGAGGGCGCACTGATCGCGCTGTGCGGCGCTGCGGCGGGGCGGATGCACGGCGTGCACGCGCGGGTGGCTGCGAGTGCTGCCTGGGCCCTGGGCAAGCTGGGCTACCACTCCCCGGCCCTCATGGAGGACTGCCTGGACCGCCTCACACGCTGCCTGGAGGACGCGGACTGGGGGGCCGTGCACTGGGGGGTCGCGGGCCCCGCTGGAGCAGCGGCGGACCAAGCTGCCGCTGCGCATGGCACGCCCGCGAGGGACGCACAGGGAAGCGGCGGCGGCAGCGGCGGCGCCAGCGGGGGTGGCGGCGGCGGCGGCAGCGGCAGCGGGGGTGCGGGGGGTGCGGCGGTGGCGGGTCCCAGCGTGCTGGAGCAGCTGCTGCACAGCCCGGTCCTGTTGGAAGGCTACAGCAGCGGCAGGGCTGACGGGGACGACGGTGGCCGTGGCGGCTGCCTCTGGGCGGCGCAGGAGGAGGGGCCCGACCCCCTGGAGGTGGCCCTGGCGGCTGCAGAGAGGGGCGGGGCGCGGGTGCTCCAGCAGCGGCTGTGGCAGGAACAGCGGGAGCAGCAGCGACAGGGAGATGTCGGCGAGGCCTGGGACGAGGAGGAGGAGGAGTTCGGGGAGGGTGAGGATGAGGACGAGGGGGGTTGGGAGGACTTGGGAGAGCTGCAGGGCCACGTGGGAGGCAGTGAGCTGGAGCACGGCGAGGCAGCCAGCAGCGGCGCGTTCGCAGCGTGCGGCGCGCCGCCATGGCTGCTGCCCTGCGCTGCCCCCGCGCCGCCTGTCCTGGCGCGGGACGCGGTGCAGGCGGCCTGGGCGTGCGGCAAGCTGCGGCACTGGAACGGCGCCTTCCTGGCTGCCGTGAGGGAGCGGCTGCCGGCGATGCTGGCGGGCGGCGGGGGCGGGCTCAGCGACGTGGAGGCGGTGTCGCTGCTGTGGGCGCTGGCGCGGCTCAACTACACCAACCGCGACGCCCTGGCTGCGCTGTGCGACGAGGTGGGCTGGCGGTCAGTCGGCTCCGCCTTGTGACTGCCCGCCTGACGCTTGCATGGCAGGGCTGCATGACGGCGCGACCAAACGCAGTCGGCGCGGGGGGTGTTAACAGAGCCGGATTACCCATGCGGCACCGCAGCGCGACCCCTACCCCGAACATCATTCTGCTCGTTAATCCACCCCTTTCCGCCTGCAGCTGGCGCGCCGCTGCCCCCGGCTGTCATCCCGCGCCGCCGCCACGGCCGCCTGGTCGGCGGCCACCCTGCGCCAGCACCACCCGGCCCTGCTGCGCGCCGTGGCCGCACGCGCGCGCGAGCTGGCGGGGGAGGGGCGGCTGCAGCCGCTGGACGCGGTGCACGTGGCTTGGTGCCTGGCTGAGCTGACAGAGGGCGACAGTGCCACCTTCCGCGCCCTGGCAGGGGTAGGCAGGGCTTGTGCCACAGGCGGCAGGGGCGGCGGGAACGACTGTGCCAGGCTGGGTGGAGGCTGCTGTTGAGAGGGATGTAGCAGCACTGCATTGCTTTCGGGACTGTTTGAGGCATGAAGCAGCCACTTGCATTTGCGGCTGACGTCATCAACTCAGACGCTGCTCCCCTGCCCGCCTCACCTGCCGCCAGGTCATCGCCCCCTCTGCGCACCGCCTGGGCACCAAGCTGGCTGTCAACGCGCTCTGGGCCTTTGGGCTGGCGGGGCAGCTTGGGGAGGACGTCTTCGCGTGAGGATGGGGAGGGCTGGAAGGGTCCAGGGGTGGCTGGATGGGTTCGGGGTGAAGGTGATGGAGGGTTCAGTGACGAGGACACGGCAGGCTGGGGGTCGACAGCCAGCCGTTGACGCTACGTGCTGGGCGATACAACTCATGTTTTGACAAACGCAGCGTCCCTCATGGCAACCTGCCAGCGCTCTTTCGCCTCTAAACCAAGCGTTCCCACCCTCCTGCAAATGTCTAGCACATTCACGCCCCCCGCCGTCCGCTGCCACCCCCCCCCCCACAGGTCCTTGTATGCGTCGCTGGCGCGTGTGCGGCCGTCCGCCCTCCACGGCCTGGCCCTCATGCAGCTGGCCCAGGCTGACATGATGGTCACGGTGAGGCCCGGGCAAGGGGTGGCTGGGGGGAACGGGTGTGTACGTGGGACTGCGCTTGCATGTTTGCGTGTGTGCGTTCGTGCGTGCCTGCCTGCGTGTGTGTATGCGCACGTGCGTGCTTGCATGTGTGTGTGTGTGTGTGTGTGTGTGTGTGTGTGTGTGTGTGTGTGTGTGTGTGTGTGTGTGTGTGTGTGCGCATGCGCGCGCATGCGTGCGTGCACCAGTGTGCAAGTGTATGCGCGTGTGGAACTGCTGCGCAGCCAGCAGCACACTGCGGACCCATCGGCCTCCGTTCCATGGGGCAGCATGGTGTGACGTGCGCTGTCCGTTGCCTTGTCCCCATCCCTTGCGCCGTTGCACCCCCTGGCCCCCCCCCAAAGGACGCGTACCGGGGCATCATCCGCTGCCCGGTGCAGCTGGCCCCAAACCTGCGCAGCCTGGCGCAGCGCCAGTGGCGGTCCTCTGTGAGACGGGGCAGCAGCGCCAGCGCCTTCCAGCGGCAGGTGGACGGGCGCTAGATCCCAGGGGGGGGGGCGGCCATCTGCTCCCTGCTATCGCCGCTTTGAGCGCACCATCACAGCTGCTATCAAGATCGTCCGGTCATTGCGCCAGACGCAGCGTTGTTGTTGCGCATGGGGCAGAAAACCTTGAGGAGCAACATACTCAACCCAATCAGTCGCCTCTGCGACCCACTGCACCTGCCGCTCACCGCTCCGCACGCTATCCCTGTTGCCCCCCCCACCCCAGGTCGTCGCCGCCCTGCACGCCCTGGGTGCGGCCCCGCGGCTGGAGGTGCTCACGCGCGACGCCATGTTCTGTGTCGACATCTCGGTGGAGTGGCGCGGCAGGTGGAAGGGAAGCGAGGGGCAAGCTTTTGGCCGCAGGCCGCAGCTGCAACTCTTCATTGCCCAACCACCGAGGCGCTGACCTGCACCCTGCGAGCTCGTTATCGCTGTGCAAGAGGTCCACAACCCTGCACTGCCCCACATTGCCCTGTTTCTCTCCCCCTCTCCTTAACATGCAGGCGCTATGCAGTGGAGGTGGACGGGCCCCACCACTTCACGCTCAGCCGCCCCTACCGGCCCCTGGGCCGCACCGCCGCGCGCCGCCGCTGCCTCCAGGCGCGGGGCTTCTGGGTCCTCAGCGTACCCTTTTACGAGTGGCGGGCCGTCAGCCGGCCTCGTGGCCCCCAGCGGCAGGCGGACGAGCGCGAGCAGGAAGCGGGGCGCGGCCAGCAGATGCACGGGCAGCAGCCGCTGCTGCAGCAGCAGCAGCAGCAGCAGCAGCAGCAGCAGCAGCAGCAGGGGCAACAAGGGGCCTTGCCACGGCAACGTCCACGAGCTCTAGGCCCGGGACGGCGGCTGGACGACGAAGAGGACAGGCAGGAAGGGCGCAGCAGCAGCAGCAGCCACACTGCCGACTTTGCGTACAGGGGACCCGGTGGCCCGTGTGTGTCGCCGGAGGTCCTGGCCTGGCAGGTGGCCTACCTGGAGGCTGCCCTGGAGGGCGCAGCCAGCCTGTCACTGCACTCACTGCGGGAAGGACGCGGCGCCGAGGAGGACGGTGGCGGCAGCGGTGGCCCCCAGCCGTGGCAAGGTGGCGGCGAAGCGGATGCTGCGGAGCTCCCGCCGCTCGACACAGATGCGCTGGGGCTGGCTCGCTCAATGTAACTTTGTGCTCAAGCGACACTTTTCATCTAGGGTTTGCGTATTCGTATCCGACCGCAAGCCCCAAAATGACGTGGTTCCAACAGCTGGGAGCGCAGCATCACTGTCAAACAGGGTTGCCCGCCTTCCCCCCATCACGCTCCCATCTGTTGTCTTCACTCCTGTCTGCACTGTGCCCTTGCCACCAGTCCCACTTGACGCGGCATTGGTTGTTACACCCCCAGGACCCGCGTCCCTGCGACTGCAGCTCACCCTGGTGCGGTGCCCAGCCTGGACGTCGCAGCATTCGTGTTGATGGTACCCTCGACCGGGCACAAAGCATTACGACACATAGCACAAACGCTGCACGACTCCTCACAATTTGGGAAGCAGGCGTATCATAGTTGTCAGGTAAGCAAGGCGTTGCCCCAAACGATCTGCTCCTCAAATATAAACATATCTAGGAGTCCGACATCCCAATATACATATGTTCTTAAACCCCACTCCAGTGACCGCCTTCGCCCCTGCAGCCACAGGCCAGTGCTGCAGGGACATGGCTCGACTGGGCCAGCTGCTGCCCTCATCCCCCTCCGCCACCGCCGCCCTGCGATCGCTGCCTCAAAATGGCGGCCATCGCTTCCACCTGCGCGGCCGTCATCGCGTCTGTCTGCTGCTGCGACGTCCTGAGCTGTGCCTGCTGAGCTTGCCTGATGAGAGCCATCAAGTGCTGCTGCTGCTGCTGCTGCTGCTGCTGCTGCTGCTGCTGCGAAGCCTGCTGGGGCGCAGTCCCGGGCCGCAGGTTGAGCCCGCTGCTGGCGGGCGGCTGCATGCTGGCCATGGCCCGCGCAATCGCTGCCGCAGCCGCGGCCTCGGCGGCCGCAGCATGGGCCGCAGCCGACCCTGGCCGCGGCGCAGCTGCCGGCGCAGGGCCCGGCGCGCGGCCGTAGGGGTTGCTGAACAGAGGCGGCCCCCGCCCGCGGCCCCGGCTGCCTGCCGCCCCGCCCCTTGCCAGCCGGGACGGCCCCGCCGTGTGGCCCCCGCCGGCGGCATCTCCCGCCACCTGGTCCCGCGCGACGTCCCCTGCAGCCACCTGTGCGGCTTCGCGCTCGCGCTGGCCGCCGCGCCCCAGCACCTGCAGCGCCGCGTCCGCGAGGCTCATGCCCTCCGCCTCGTACCGCGCCAGGTCCTCGATCTGGGGGGCGTGGGGGTGGTGGCGAGTGTGTGTGTGTGTGTGTGTGTGTGTGTGTGTGTGTGTGTGATTTGGGGGGAGGGGCGTGACTGGGGTCGGGTGGTCGGGGCCTGCAGGGGTGGGACGCAAATTTGATGACATGCAGGGGTAGTGCCGTGTGTCAGAGCGTTGTTTGCCCTCTTGTCATGTGGGCCAAGCTGCTGTGCAGGGTGGCAGTACCGAGGGGTGTGAGCTTCTGCAGCAGCCCCACAAGTTTGCTCTGCTCTCCCCTGTTGTGCTGTGAGCCCGACTGTGGCCCTCCTCCCTCTGCAGTGTCACCTTCTTGAGCACGAGGCGCATGTCACCCCTGTTCATAGCCAGGCCTAAAGTGGTGTTGGGATGGGGTTGGCGGAATAGGTTGAGAGCCCGCGGGTGGGTGGGCGCGTGTGTAGGGTCGCAATGGCTGTGTCCGGGCGGGCCGCTTCCCTGGTGCTGCGGCTGGTCGCGTCACAGCCTGGCCACCGGCTCCCGGCCCGTGCACACTGCTGCCATGCTCAACACCATGACCCTAAGTAGCCCGTCCTGCAGGTGCACCCGGCTGCAGGTGTGTTGCGCAACCGTCCACCGCTCACCCCCC